CTTTCCCTCTCTACTCCTATCTGAATGTCAGCATATCAAAGTTGTATTTTTCTTTCAGTAGTGCTCTTCAATTACGCGTCAATCCACACAAAAACAAGTAAAAGCATGAATAGAGATCACAGATGACAAAATACTTCACCTAACTTGGCCATAATGTTCCACTGAATTTACATTATAGCTTCCTAAATGGCTTCAAAACTAGTTTATTCTGTACACAGGAAGGCAAGTAGGCCAACAACTGGTTTCCACTTGCACTCACTACCAAAAGCCAAACACATTTCCATTCAAAATCAATCACAAATTCTTGCTATCCAAGTTTTGTCTACACACATTAAGTTTAACAGTCAAATTGCTTAGAACCTCTGTGAATGAAGGCCCAGATTGAATTCTCAGCAGCTGCATCCTGTAAGGTATTAGTAAATACCTCAAACCTGCAACATAAATAAGCCATTAAAATCTCCAACTATAAATTTTATGTAAACGCATAAGAATTGTTGTGCATGTATGTAAATGCCCATATCATCTTTCCTGAATAAAAAAAATTAACGGTCTTCGATGTCATTATAATAAACTTCAATATTAAGACTAAAATTGTTTTTCAGCCGAAATGCTTACCGGCGATGCACATGGAGCGGTACAGGAGCGACGTATAAGCGCCACCCTTAGTAGCCATTTGGGGCCTCTCCAAGCACGCAAGAAAAGCCAAATCAGCCTTGAGGAGCTTGCTCTGATCATGGGTGTCGTACCCGATATCATGACAGTAGCAGCAGAAGTCAAGCCAATCAATGGGGCGGCGATCCCAAAGCATAGAGCCGCCTGCCTTCCCGCTTGACCAATTAGGGCCGCAGTAATGGCCGTAGCGAGGGAAGAGCTGAGAAAGGAAAGCACGAGCGCCGCTGTGCCATGGAACCCTTGCGACGTATGGCCGGAAACGCGGTACGGCGCAGCCGGGCTCCGGCGGCCACGTGCGAACGGGACGCTGGTAAGGGGCGGGACAGGCGGCGGTGAAGGGGAGAACGGATTGGAGCGATTTGAGAAAGATGGTTCTGAGATCTGAGAGTGAGTTGGATTTGGATTCGGGTGGAGATTGGGGAGGAAGGGAAGATTGGGAGGTGGGTAGTTTGCCGGGGAGCAGGCGGAGAAGGGAGGGGAGCCCTAGATGGTGCGGGAGGCGGAGATCAACAGTGGGAGGAGACCAGCTAGATTTGTCGGCTCCCATAGTCCCATTCGAGAGCCGCAGCCGAGAGAAGGGGAACACCTGAATCCTGGGGATGGGGTTGGGGGAAGTGAAGCAAGCGGCAGCGTTTAGATAGGGACGAAGAGGATTTACACTGTAAGTGCATATCCATTCATAAAATTAATATATCCTGAATATGAATTTATTATAAAATGATATGATATTAATTAATAAAACAGTAACAATTACTTGTTTTAAAAATGAATTATACTAAATTTATGAACTATTATTTGTTAATATTTTAACAGAAAATCGCGCAGGATATGACAAGAAAAATTTATCCTCTATAATTAGATTATGCGCTATATTATTATAAGGTGTTCCAATAGGAGCACTAGAAAGCAAAAAATGATAATATATGTAAATAGGAAATTTTAGATATGAGATAATGTATTTCAACATATGAAAATATTGGGGTCAATCATATAAGCTTTCAGATAATGTATTTCAACATACGGTCAATCATATAAGCTTTCAGATAATGTATTTCAAGATATGAAAAATTTAGTATTTCAACATAGATATGAGATAATGTATTTCAATATATGAAAAATTTGAGGTCGCGTAGGAGAGGAAGAAGAAGAAAAGTCTATGTGTTAAGGTTGTTGACCGAATCATATAAGTGAAATTAATACTCTTTTAATTAAGTTATTTAATAAAGATTTTATGTGTGTGTGTGT